CATCGCAGCGTGGGCGCGTTGGGGTAGCGGGGGAGCGGCAGGGACAAGAGCGTTCGGGAGGAATCTCCACGTGGACGAGCGCGCGAAGAGGATACCGCTGAGGATACGCTCGACAAAGCGGCGTCCGCGCGCGGTATCGATCGCCGCCGAGAGACGGGCGTCGCGGCCGCGGTAGGATCGCACGAGAATCCAGCGGCGCCTTATCGGGGCGCGTTTTCCGTCGGTCGGAAGGTCGACGGGAGCTCGCGGTGGCGGGATGAGTGGCGGCAGGAAGAAGGGAGAGGAGGAGGGAGGAAGGAAGCAAGAGGGCGATTTTTCCCGTCGTAATCCACGGAAGATGCATAATATCTGTCAGGGGCAAAGGAAACATTCCATTAAGGAAATGAGCCGAGAGCCATGTTAAATTACGTTTGTTTCGTGCCACGGAGCGACGCCTCCTACATCCTTGAATTTACTCCGCCACCCCCCGCCCTCGTCCTTCGCGGGCGCCGTGGCGCGGCGGCCCGCAATTTGGCGCGGAACCATCTTTTTAATTGATGGCTTCCTTTAGAAACGAACCGTCGTCTAACCAGGATCAAGAAGCTGCTCCCCGCGAGGGTGTGTGTGTGTGTGTGTGTGTATACGTATATATGTATGTATGCTCGAGACGAATCGGAGAGCGAATTAGCGCCGGCCGCTTTCCAAGCCGCGCGTTCAAGAATCGACCGTTTCGCGACGCACGCGACAATTAAAAATTTCGTCATTCGTTACAGCACTTCCTCCCCCGCCGCCGCCTCCGCCGCCGCTCCCACGCGCTACATACGCAGGAAATTCCATTTGGAGACTCCGTTGGCGACTCGACCGGCGCGCGTAACCGGATTTCGCGTCGTGTGTGCTTCGTACGAGTTGGCTCTATCCGTGATTGAATTTAAGTCGGCTCGTTCGAAAAGCGTTCGAGACGAAAGCGGAGAGGAAGAGAGCCGGACGCATCATCCTGGACGACCACCACCGATTCTGTTCGCGGGGAGAAATAGAGAGAGAGAGAGAGAGAGAGTCGCGTTACATACGCATTAGCCTCCGTCATTATCGAGCGCCAAGTGCTCGTTATGTCGTAATAAACAGCCGCGACGCGCGTGTTCATCTCGCGAGCGCACACGCGCGGAAACGGGATGCAAAGCAACGCCATTCGGGATAATTACGCGAGCTGTTACGTGTCAGTAGTAGCGCGCAGTCGTCGTCGTCGTCGTCTCGCGCGGCGTCGAGGATCACGCTCCGTGCAACGAACCTCTCTCGCCTCGGCTAATATTAGAAAACGCAATCCGACGACGCACGTCACCGGCGATACTATCCGGGATAGGAGGGGGGAGGGGGAAGGGAGGAAGAGGAAGGCTTTCCGTCTCTGTGTTCCGCGAAGAATCTGAGGAGGTCCGCGAGAACCTGAGCCAGTCCGTCCGTCCAGCCGGTGACGGCGACGACCCGTCGCGGCGGGTAACTCGGCCGTTCATTATGTATTCTATGAATACTGATACGCGTCGCGCTCTACGCGCGCGGCGCGATGCATTTTACATTGTCACATCGAGTGACGAGTCGCGTTAACAATGCACTATTGATCCCGTTTAAATATTTGGCGCGAGCGCGAGCGCGAGCGTCGCCTGGAGCCGTCGCTTTTAATCCTTGCGCCGGGGATTACCCCCGCGCGCGCAGGCCGACCGGCATTATTTCACGCAGGTGTGACCTGTGAAAAATTACGAGAAAAGAAGATATCTTTTTTAATGAAACCGATGGAAAAAGAGAGCACCCCACGGTCGCATCGAGTCGCGGTAGCGATGCGTGCTCGCGCTCGAAGAAGAGAGAAAAAGAATCGGTAAGACAGATTTATTTGTATTTCCCGTCAAAAGGCGGCGATCCTCTCGGGAGGAGGTAAATGAGGCGCGCGCTCGAATTCATCGCGCATACGCGCTTCTCACCTCCCGCAATGTATTAATAGCCTCTCCTTCTCCCTCTGCTTCCTAATTTTTAATTTCAATTTCTTTTTTTCACGTGGAACCCTGCGTCAAATTTTACCCAAGCAGAAGTTTCATGACGTACGACGCTTGGAATGTCTATCGCGTATCGACCGGCGTCGGGCTGATAAAATTGAACGTAATCTCCCTGCCACACTGGGCATCTCAAATATTTGAGTAATTCAAATATAAATGAAGTAAGTAAGTTGTGCGCTGCACGAGCTAAATCGCGTCTTAATGAACACGAAGACGCGTCGCTTAATGTGCACACAATTACTTATCCAATTGATCAATCCTGTACTTTTTTCGAGCACTCGAGGGGACGCGTTTCCGAATCGTCTACTAATTAATTCTCTCCCCCTTCCCTCTCTCTCTCTCTCCCCCTCCCCCCCTCCCTCGCAGAAACAAAACGTGCCGACGGCGACGCCGTCCGTCGCGTCGCGTCACGTCGCGTCGCATCGCCTGCCGTAATCTCCGTTCATATTCGTGAAAATTATTGAATACGATTTCCGAAGGCAGGGGGGAGGAACAAGCCGCGGTAGGATCGGCGGAACTTTTCTCACCAAGATTACATCAACCGAATAAATATTTGAGGACTCTCCTCGCGAGAGGAGAGCGTCGCGGCGGTCTGTCTTAGCGTGCTTCTCCAGCTGCTATACTTCGATATCCACTACGTGGATATCCCTGAAACTTGAGTCTCTCTCTCTCTCTCTCTCTCTCTCCCCTCTCTCAGCAACGCGAGCGAAACTTTGTCTTCCAAGTTTTCAGTCTTTACATCGATTCCGGCCAACAGAGCGAAAGAATGGGGACGGGGGAGGGGGGGAGAGTTGGACTCCAGCTTCGAGGATAAATCCGCGGTGTGTGTTTGTGAATGCTTCACAACACGGGGAAGCGCGAGACTCCGTTTGTGCTCTCCTCTCGGCGCGGCTACCTGTACAGAGAGAGAGAGAGAGAAAGAAAGAGAGAGAGATCTTTCTTCCTCCCTCTCTCTCGAATAAATAATCGTCCCGCGGGCGCTAACTGAGCCGACGTCGCGTGTATATGCGGGCGAGTGCCGCATATAACGCGGTCCTTTGCCGGCTGGGTCTCATTGTATCGCGTTACCGTGGCGCTCTTTCCCCTCGAAACCCCCCCCCCCACTCGGTCTTCCGGCAACCGCGCCGGGGCGATCGCGCGCGAGCGAGTTCATCGAGACGAGGCTGGCGAATCTCGCCGGGGCGTTCTCGCGCTCCTTCTCTCCGCCGGCTCTCTTTCTGCATATTTCATCGCGGCTGCACAGCGTGATACAGCGAGCGAGCGCGCGCGTGTCAAGGACGATTAGCGCCCGACAACATCTTGAATATCGGATTCCAGGGCTTAGCGCGGCGGCGGCGGCGGCGGCGGCAGCGGCGGCGGCAGCCAATAGAGAGACATTGAGAAAGCCGCGGTGAGCTCATTGTCGTCAGCCTCGTCAGGGGTAGCCTAATTAATGCAATCTGCAGACGATCCCGCGGCTGGCTTACACGCGCCTCGTTCGCGCTCCGTCATAATATACGCGAACTCCCGGCGGAGTTATATCGCTCCGATGAGCCTTCGCACGTGCCGACGGCGCCGCTGCCCGGTCGCGCGTCAATCTTGCGTCCTGATGCTTTGATAAGAGAGAGAGAGAGAGAGAGAGGCTCTGTCAAACCTGCGAGCGAATTAGCGTGCGACGTGTGTCGGCGCGTGTTTGCCGACAGACCGCAATGCGGAACAGATGCGGAACTTGACAATGAGACCTCGACTGATCGGTAATTAGCGGTAATTGATTATCAGAGGCAGCGCGTGTGCAGGACTCTTTGCTCGAGAAGCTCGCTAGGAGGCTCGAGGATGCGAGGAGTCGACTCGACGGACTTCGATATGCGGAGGAAGAAATTGTCAAGGATCGAGCATAACTTGCGCGTTCTTTCGGCTCTGATCCGAAAGTGTCCGTCCTCTCTCCCCCCCTACATCCCTCGATATCCTCCAGACGCGCGTTTCCCGATGACGGAGAAGTTGTCGAGACGACAGCGCGGAGTCACAGTATAAGGAAGAACAGTAGGTTCACTCGGTGTGGCGGTGCTTTTGATCTCAGGTGCTACAAGATCGCCATGTTATTGCTTGTGCGCGGGTAATTTGAATGACAATGAAATAGTAGCTAAAACAGATATTTATTGCTGCTTTTCAATATTTACTGTCAAATCTATAATATACATTATAAAATAGAATTATAAAATAATATGAACTATTATTAATATAATGTGTTAATAATATTATAATTAATAATATATAGCATATTACTAATTATAATATAGAAAGATGAATATATATATATATATATATATACAGGGTGCTAAATTCCAAACGCAACAGGTAAAAAATCTCGAAAACTAAATGATATTGAGGTCCGCCTTCTTTTTATATTGTATTGTTTCGAAGGGGACACATTCTGATTAAAACAAAACTTAACACTTTGCAAATTTAAATTTGCACTTTTGCGGTTTATTATACAACACTTATTTACCACCTCTTTCATTCACTTTACTGATTTTAATGAAACGACAATATTGCTGTATAAAAATTCGCTCATACAGTCAATCGTTGCTTACACTTACACATTTTGACAGCTATTGGCCGCCATATTGTTGGTTGTGCAGTTCGGTCATGCGCGACGAACGACCGTTCGCACAATTTTCTGCTGAGTGAACCTACTGTTCCTTCTTATACCGTGGCGGAGTCGCGCCTCCCGAGCGAGTCGAACGCTCGTCCGCGCTCGGTCGCGATCGACAGGGCGCGTTCTCCATGCCATGAACGATTAATGCCGCGCAAACAAACGCACGTAGCAACGTTGACGGTAACCGAGCAGCGGGGAGCGAGGGGCAAAGCTGTAGCTTAATTGACCCCATTGTAAATTCGTTGGGGCAACAATGGCCGGGATAATTATGCTCAGAGGCGCGCGCGCGCGCTCGCGCTCGGTTAATTCCTTCGGCTAATCCGATCGATGTTGACTCGCTGTTGCAGTTGGACAGGTTCAGAGAGCCGCCGGCGTTCGGGCCGATGTGCGACCTCCTCTGGTCGGACCCCCTCGAGGATTTTGGCAACGAGAAGAACGCGGACCACTTCTCCCACAATAGCGTCAGGGGTTGTTCGTACTTTTACAGGTGAGTACACGTCGTCCCTCCGAGCAATCGCCGCCGAAGAAATGCCGGGCGGCGGGGGGGGGGAAGGGGGAGCATCGTCTCCTTCCCCCCGCCGACGCGCGACTTTGGACGAAAGGAGCGCCGCGGGGAAGCGCTCGCGCGAGCTTTTCCGCCGACGAGACTCGCGACGTTACAGAACAGCCTGGCCCATCGCTGACTTTTACCGCGACAATAAACGCAGCGGCGCGGAGCGGTGGGAGGAGGAGGTGGGGGGCGAGGATCGTCCTGGCCGGGACGATCTCTTCGCTCTTCGCTTTGCTCTTCGCTCGGAAAAATATCGTGCGATGTATCTCACTGCTTGTCGTCGCTGCGTTTCTCGTTTTTCTCTCTTTCCTGCGACCCCCCCTCCCCCCCTCACTGTTACACTCCGACCAGCGGCTAATTATCTCGCCGTTTGTCTCGAGCTGCAGCAGCCGGAAACGTATCGCGCGTATCGCGCACTCTTGCGAAATCACACACCGTGAAACGAGGTAATTTTGGCTCTCGTTTCTCTCCCCCTCTCTCTCTCTCTCTCTCTCGCTCTCGCTCTCGCTCTCTCGGCTTTCTTCCACCGAATTGTTCTACGTCGCGCTCGGTGTCGCGGACCGTGTCGTGTGCCGCCCTTCGTCCCGCGGACACGCCCGCGGTTCGCTCTACGCTCTACGCTTAATAACGCAGCCGAGCTGCGCGATAACGTCAGCGAGCCGCAACGAGCGCGACGGCTCTCTCCTGTCGCAGATCCGCTAATTATAGGAACGGCCGTGCTAATGAGCACAGAGATTCGTTAAGTGTCGGCCGTTCCGCGCGCCCGCTCGTCCGTTGACGTTCCCCTGTTCGTACGCGTCTCGGGGGGGAGGAAAGGCGGAGGAGGAGTGTGATGAATTAAATTCCGGGGGGAGAAAGCGGGGAGGATTCGCCGCTCATGCAGCTCCAGTCCGCCTCGCGACCTTCCGCGACAATCTCCCGCCGCGTCGCGTCGGGGGGAGGAGAGATCGATATCGAGACATTTTCGCCGCACGTCCTTGCTTCCTGGAAAGTAACGCGTTGCCTGCAACGTCGTTGTACCCCCTCCCCCCGTTGCAAGTTATTTACATTTATTTACCATAATTTGTTGTACTTGGAGCGACGAGTCAATCACTTGTTCCTTGTTATCTGATTAGTCGTTTTCTTGTGGCTCTTGCTTAATTACCGTTTGAATGTTTATTACTTCGAGTGACGAATTAAAGTAAGAAGAAAAATTGTCAGGTCGTCGCTGCCCTGCTGCGACTTGGCAATGGCGAAGCAATTGCGTTTTCGGGTAACGCGTACAATCCTTACTTGTGTCATTTCTTTGTAGAATATATATGTGTGTGTGTGTAAAACGGATAGAAACGAACGCTAATAAACAGAATGGTCTCTCGAACCGAGTGGAAAAAGCGACGGCCGCCGTAGCGGTTCGTTACTTTTCACAAGTAACTTTGCCGCAACTCCGATTATCTTACATTACGCGACACGCGTCAAGAGCGTCGCTCTTGCGGTCCCCTCTCCTCGCTGTTCCGGGAAAGAGAGCGCCGGCGTATACTCGCAGCGCGTTACTCGGATTATTTAATAATTGAGTCGTTCATTGAAATGTATGAGTCGCGGGCGCGGGCGATCGCGATCGCGATAAGATAATGATGCGGCCATTATGAAGACGTCGCGCAACGTCGCGGCAACGCAACTTCTCATTTTCGATCGGCGCTCGCATTATCGTGTCTCGCTCGCGGCGGCGGGGGGGGGAGATAAGTACGTGCATTAAGTCCCACGCGAACATAAATCACGACCTCGCGTCTCGGCCGGTGTGATCCGCAAGTAGTCCGGCCATAATCACCGGCGCGGCGCGCCGCACGCTGACTCGTACTACTCGCGCCGGCCGGACTCGCGGAGAAGCTCCCGATTTAGCCGAAGCGTGTTCTAGCGCGGAGCGGAAGCCGAAAGCGCACCGTGCGTGTCTCGCGAAATAACAGCCGCGAGCGTGTCAGGTAAATCATCTTATCGCCGTCGTCCATGTATGTGTGTGTGTGTGCGTGCGTGTGCGTGCGTGTGCGTGTGTGTCGGGACGTATCTCGGAGCTGAGATTCACCGGGCCGAGGGATCGATGCGGCGCGGCGCTCGCTTTTCCAGAGATTTCACCGCGTCATTAATCTCTGTCGGCGCTATGAACGGGGCTTAATGGCTGCTAACGACCACGTCTCGACATGGCGGCAAACATTTCTCACGATCCTTGACCAGGTCAGTCATGGTGGCACGCGGAAAGGGTCGCGCGTCGACGTCTTCGCCGGTTTTAATTTGTTTGCGCGAAGCCGCACCGTGTGTACGTGTATGCGCGCGCGTGTGTGTATGTGTGTGTGTGAGAGAGTTTTGTGTGTGACGTCGTCAATCGGCGCCCGAGCCCGAGCGAGAACAATGGATCACCGGGCGGCGGCGCGTCAGGCCGCACGTCGCGCGTGAAGAAGAGAGAGCTGCGGACATCCCGAGGCCGCGAGGCCGCGTTCACCGCGACGGCGGACGTGGCGGGTTTGAAACATTCCCGAGGAAATAAGCGAGAGACTCGGGACAGGATCCGCCGCGCTCGCTCGGACAATCGTACGTATTTGCGGAATCGCGCTTGGTCGACCGCTCATTGCCGGCCGTTGTAAATCTTCCGACAGGTGAAGATTGATTATTTGGCGCTCGAGCGATTGTTTTCGACGCGAGTGCCAAGGGGCGCGCACATCGCGGCGCATAATCCGGCTCTCGCGACTCCAAGATGTACGCTTTCCTGCGATAAATATCAGAAGCGAGACTTTGTCGCGGGACTCGTTTACACATTGGACAAACGCGAGACGCTGCGCGCTCGCGGAAGTTGAAACGCTCTCCGACAGTTCTCCGACACGATCGCCTTGTTTATTCATACGTGCGCAGAGAGAGAGAGAGAGAGAGGGGGGGGGATGGTTAATCTGGCAGAAATTTTAAACATCTCTGACATTTTCGACTGTTGTCGTTAATATCGCAGCAACATTCGCGGCGCAGAAATGCTTCTCCCGGCTGCGAATTATTTCATTACGCCGCACAGTGGGGCCAAATGACATTCTTCGGTTGAAAATTCTCGAGAGACCTGAATTTCCAACCGATCGTCGACACCAATGGATGAGGTTGATCCTGAATAAATTCCGAGGAGATCTGTTATTTTGTCAGAATTAAAAAAAAAATTTTTTCTCGAATTACCAGCCCCAAAAGAGGAAAAACTATCGTTAAACGCGAGAAACTTGTGAAATTGCGTATTGAGCGGATTGAAACTACGAAACCAATCAACAGACACCTCGAGATTTATCGATCTTGAACTAGAAACCCATTAACCCAAAACTCATATGCCCAAAATACAAACACACAAAAATATAGACCCGATGCTTGATACTAGAGTTACAAAACTATTGTCAGTGTCAGCTTGAAACTCCGAATCTTCGGTCTCTTCGTCGATGACGAATTTTGATTTATCAACTAATGCGCTATCAACAACTGACCTCTAGTCGGCGAATCACGGCGAAGGTACACGCGATCGAACAGGTATAAAATTCGTCAGCAGCCTCGTTGACTCGCTGGCTGTCTTTGTACTTGTTCAAGTGTCCGTGTACTTTCGAGTTCTCCAAGTTTCGAATACTCGGGCACTCGCACTTGAAAATTTTCTTATTCAAATGCAACGCCTCGCAGCTGTGCTCTGAGGAGCACCGAAGCTTCGAGCGTCTGACTTACGGCCCTAATTTATACGCGTTCGGAAAGAGGGAAAGCTCTTCTTCTCCCTTTCTCAATGCTCTCGACGACCGCTCGAAGCCGCCCAAAGAGTCCGATCGATAACGTCTGCTTGCAGTTACTCGGCGTGTTGCGACTTTCTGCAAAACAACAATCTGCTCAGCATCATCAGGGCGCACGAGGCTCAGGACGCTGGATACCGTATGTACCGAAAGTCTCAAACGACGGGCTTCCCATCGCTTATCACCATCTTCAGCGCGCCCAATTATCTCGACGTGTACAACAACAAGGTAAAGAGACGCCTCTCCCTTCGCCTCCTCTTTTTCCCCCTCATCTCCCTGCCCCTCTGCTCCGATGTTAATTCAGCCATCTCGCGCACTCGCTGCCGAGAGCAGCCCGACACGCGGTGTGTGTGTGTGTGTGTGCTGCATCGCACATTGTTCGCTCCATCACGACTCGCGCGGACCGGCTTCGGTCTATCGTGGCTCGTCAAATTTTCGATGCTCGTTGTGCCCGCAGGCGGCCGTTTTAAAGTACGAGAACAACGTGATGAACATTAGGCAGTTCAACTGCTCGCCACACCCGTACTGGTTGCCCAACTTCATGGACGTTTTCACATGGTCGCTGCCGTTCGTCGGCGAGAAAGGTGAGTCGCGCTCCGCGCCGGGCCGAGACGAAGAACTACCATCTCGCGCGGTCTGCGTGTCTCTCTGTATTCATTGCGGAAAGTCAATCAAGTTGATTAACTCTTCGCACTCAACGCCGTTGCCCGAGTGCGAGGAGTTAACGCCGCGCCTCTCATCCTCGACGATTTTCTTGCCGTCAACGTCGAGCCGGGAAAGATGACGTCGAGACGAGGAAATGGAACACGGGAACGCGTGAAGAGGAGTCAAATCACATCACATACATTTGTTTTTATTTTATTTATTTATTTATTTACTTTTTTTTATTCGAAGACGCGCGCGCGAGAAGAGGCGCGGCATCGTCTCGCGGCGGCGTCTCGCTCGGCGACGATTTTAACGAGCGGCTCCTCGCCCTCTCTGTCTCTCTTTCAGTTACAGAAATGTTGGTGAACGTGCTGAACATCTGCTCGGACGACGAGCTGATGACCGACGGCGACGACGCGCTCGAGGAAGGTAATGTCCACCTCTTAACTCTTGTACTCCACGTTAATACGCTGTTATTTTGCAGACAGTTTCGAAAGTGAGATCGCTGCTCGGACTGGTCGCTCTTATGTCGTGATCAGAGCTTGTGTCTTTCCCACCCTGCGCGCTCTCGATATGCCAAGCCCCGAGTCTTTCTATTTCTTCTTCCCCGCTGTGTTTACCACGTTCGAGCGCAAACGCGCAAACAAGACTCACGCGACCGTCGCGTCCGCGACGCGGACACGCTTTCTTCCTCCGTCCCGACTCGGCCGTGGCCGACGACGGGATGATCGGGGAAGCGCTCTCGGTCCGACAGACCGACCCCCGGTATCGTCCTCCAGGACCTATATCAGTGTCCTCGGCGAAAGTTCATCTCCATCGCGCTCCACAACAACAGCGCGAGGCACGTTTCAATCTCACCCGTCATCTCTGCCGAGGACGACCGACGGACTGACGGACGTACGGAACAGCGTGATAAGACACCGCGCGAGTCCCTCTCTGATATGTCTGAAGAAGAATCTTTTGTTCGCCTCCGTGGCGCGTTCGATGTGGTTCCTGCAACTACGCATATTTTTTGATCGTGGGGACTGCGTACACTGAGAGAAAAGTATATGATACTTGAAATTATAATGATACAGCAACTAAATTATAGTCCGAAATATCATATTTATAGTAACTATACGGTATATTACCATAATATCGGTAATAATTGCGACATAGGCATGGTATAACCAACCATATAATCTTTTTACTAAGAATTATAGCAAGTTAAACTAAAATTATTGTATGGATACAAATGGTAAAATGGTAGGTAAAGTAACTCTTTTATACAGTCAATATTACCAGAATATGATATTTGCTAAGTGGTGACAGATGTAACCAGATGAATATTAAATCTCACTATATATTTGCGAATGAGAAATTATCGTATATATGTGGTAAAAGTAACTAAACAATCATTTAAGACAATCATTGACTATATGTTTGTGTTTATTCTACTATATCTTGCAGGTCCCACGAACTTTAAAAATATCGTTGACGCCAAAATGAAGTATAATATCTAGTGAGAGATTATAGTTAATTCAACAAATATTTTTCGATCAGTGTACGCGTTGTCCCTGTTTCTCGTTTATCTTCGTACTACTGGAGAATGGCGTGTGGACAAAGCTGAATGCAGTCCGGAGCCATATATTGAACTGAACCGAACTGAATATATCTGAAATGTCCCACAAGCTCCGACACGATCCAAGAGAGGCCACGTCACTGCCGCGCGCGCCGGAGAACGCGCGGATTCACTCCTCGCGTTGGCCTGCGCGCCGAGCGATAGAAAAGAGAGTCGGAGCCGATCTAACGATGAGAAATGAATCGGGATCCTCCGCCGCGGATCGTCGCATTCTCCCGAGAGGGAAGATCGATCGTGCGCGCTCGCGTCTCAATTCCGCGCGAGAGAAGCCGCGCAAGCGTCGTCGCGATCGAAATTGGCCGGGCGCGCTCTCTTCCGTTTTCGCTACTTCCGTTTTCATTCGGACGCTTTCCCTCCCCTCGCTCGGTTTAATCCCCGAGCTCTCGCTTAAAAGCGCAAGACGCGCGCGGCCCGCGCACGATCGATCGCTCCGTTTCTCGAGCCCGCCAATATTCCCTTCTCAGTCGATTCACAACGACAGCACCTGCGAACTTTGACGTGCCTTCTAAGTATTCTCGCACACCCGTCGTCGTCCCCCCTTCTCGATTCGCACGAATCAGCTGCGAAGTGCTCTCGCGAAAGACTCTCACCGAATCGAATCAATCATGAGAAGAGGAAAAAAAGAACGTGTAAGAATTAACGCAGGGTGACATCCCCCGCCGCGCGCAATTTCTCGCGGTGTACGTTGGTGTCTAGGCGAGCAAAAAAAGAAAAAGAAAAAAAAAAGAAAAAAAAAAGATAGAACAAACAAGCGGATTGTTAGTCGATCAGCAAAAAATATCTATCACCTCCGCAATCTCACTCTCTTGCAACTTCCAGAGACAAATCTTGAATTCTCTTTCTGTTTACATTTTCACTCGCTGCACGGACAGATGGTAAGAAACGCCGCTCGATTCTTCTAAACGTCACACGATTAAGAGCTTCATTGATTATCATTAATTTTTAGCTATTTCATAGTAGTCTCGATGTCGAGTTTCTCTTCCTCTCTCTCTCTCTCTCTCTCTCTCTCTCTCTCTCTCTCTCTCTCTCTCTCTCTCTCTCTCTCTCTCTCTCTCTCTCTCTCTCTCTCTCTCTCTGTCTCTTTCTTTCTTTCTCTCTTTCTGTCTTCTATATGTCTCTCTTTCTGTTCCTCTTTCTCTATTACATATTTTAGTCTGCGACGTGGTGTTTTCATTCTTCCCGCTACAAGAAAAACGTATGTACATACGCGCGTTTATCACTTCCTCCTTCTCTTTTTTCTCTCTTTCGTTCTCTGCGATCTCCACATTGTGTGTACGTATGTATATATAAATTACACACACATATATATATATTTATTTGCCATTTTTTTTCTTGTACGTCTCTTTCTCTTTTTCTTTGCCTCCGACCATCTGTGTTTCATGGTACTTACGGATTCTCTCGCATATGAGGCTATCTCTCTTCTTCTTCTTCTCTCTCTCTCTCTCTCTCTCTCTCTCTCTCTCTCTCTCTTTATGTCTTTCTATCTTTTTCTGTCTTTCTCTCTCTCACTCTCTGTTTCCCTTTTTTCTCTTACATCTTTCTCTCGGTATCTGCTCTCTAGCACTTTTAGTTTCACTCTCCGATTATGTATGTACATGTATGTGTGTAATACATATTCGAGATGTCTCGACGGCACCGTATAGCCTGGATTTTTACATCTTCACCGATAGACTTTGATTTTCTGCATCATTATATACTCATAGCGCATCTCTTCATTCTATCTTCATACACGTTTGTTCAAGATGGCATCAAAGGCGGCGCGACTCTCCCGTCCAACTACAGCTTGCTGAGACTCCGAGAGCGGTGTGCACATTTCGTGTGCTCGGGTCGGAATCGAATCAAATCGATGCCGATATATTCGCGAACGCAGGCGGGGAGAGAAACGCCGCGGTTTTGTCATCTTGCGCATTATACGAGTCTATATATTTCACGCATGTATCGCAGCGATCGGCCACATTGTCTCATTCGACCTCGTCTTAACGATATTCTCTCTCGGTGTCACTGGGGAGTATATCTCTATAGAGTGATTTCTCACTTTTATCACGTTTTACACTCCGACCGACTGTCTATCACTGTCCGAGTTCTTTAGTCGGTTTCAATTTCTTTCACGTGTGTCATGTCCATCTCCCATCCCTGCCTGTTTCAGTACACTCTTTCTCTCTCTCTCTCTCTCTCTCTCTCTCTCTCTCTCTCTCTCTCTCTCTCTCTCTCTCTCTCTTTCTCACTCCTGCCATTCTCATCAATATAACTCGTATAATGGATTTCCCGGGTATGGAAAGTTAGAGAACTTCCGGAGACCGGCGGATGGGAGCTTTGGCGACCGACTGCGCGGCGGCGAGAATTCACTTTCCTCGCATATGCGCGTGCGATCGAATTGCGAGGCAATTTTTGGATTTTGTCACGGACGCTCATATAATACAGCCCTATATAACGTTTTTATGCGGCTCATTAAATTATTCGAGACGTACGTCGAGTTATGATATCGAGTTGTCGATGTCCAACTTTCGTCGTCGACGACGATTAATTTCGCTGTGCCGTCGAAGGCACGGGACTAATTTGTTGGTGCGATTCTCTCTCTCTTTCTCTCTCTCTCTCTCTCTCTCTCTCTCTCTCTCTCTCTCTCGCTCTCTCGCGGCACATCGGAAGGTCAGGTCGATATCGCATCTCCGTGTCAGTCGGTCAAACCACGCGGCTCTAAGAGCGTCCATCCGCCGGTTGGGTCCAAAGCCCGATGAAGAAAATCAAGCAGAACCACCCCTCATCGCATTCCGCCGTCTCGCGGAGGACGCGTTCGCGAGTGTCTCTCAGCTTTCTACGGCTAGGTCGCCCTGATCGAGAAAGGAAAAGAATTGAAGCAGAGAGAAGACCCCGGTGTTTCGATCAATAAAGAAGATATCCCCGGCGCCCCACTGCCCCCCCCTCTCAGCAGCCCCTGGTTTCACCTCTTTTTTAATTATTACGAGAGATATACGCGTCGTGTGCATACACCCCGAGCCCTTCCACCCCAACCGAACCCTTTGCCCCTCACCCCCTGCACCCGCAACCCTTTGACCGCCCCCGCCAGCCCCCCCCCCCCTCGCCCCTTTCTGAAGTTGCACTGACTGTCTTTTATCGTACTCCTTCTCTATTATATTTGTATCAATCACACTGGCCTTGGACTCCTCCTATCTCGGCACGACACTATGCTACTACTACCTCTACTTCTACTACTACTACTTCTACTACTACTACTACTACCACTCAAAACTCCGATTGTTCGGCAACCCCCGTAAAGTCGCAGCCAAAGTCGTTGTCCAAAAAAAGAATGGTAAGTCCCCGAGAGAGCCGACGACTTACTTGACGCCAGATTTTTTCTTTTTTCGAAGCGTGCCAAAAAAAAATAACCCAACGGATTTTTCTTTTTGTATTACGATATATTTGTGATATATATCTTGATCTTAACATTTTCTCTCTCTCTCTCTCTCTCTCTCTCATCTGTTTCTCCGTCTTTCTTACTCTATCTCTTAGTCTCTTTTTCTCTTTCCTTTCTCTTTTCGTCAGTGTTCTCTCTTGCTTTTCGTTTCCTTCCTGTTTTTTGTTGCTTCCTTCGATCGCAGGGATGCGCTTCGTGACGCGTTTTGCTGAATTCAAGGACGTTCTCGTTGCATAAACTTAATATCCTGCAGTCATGCGTTTCTTACTCCTAGCGACGTAGCTAAACAAAAAGGTAATGCACGGTCTCGCCACTGCAATTTTTTCTTACATTAATTGGCAACATTCATTCCCGACGTGCAACGTCGGTATAATAATTATGCCGTTTGCTGATGAATTTTTCTCTCTCCACTCTCGACTCTCCGTCAGTCGCGGCGTATGCCACCACGATCGATACCCCGCTAGAAATGAGCTCGTGTCCAAACGCAATCGCGCCACACGTAAAAATCTCCCCGCCAGCGGGGAGTGCTTTTTAAGAGTTTCGCGTAAATATGTTCTCTCTTCGTGAAGAGCGCAGCGTCTTTTCGACAACGACAGCAACGTAAAACGGTGCGCACGAGCGTTCCACGCGGTAATTATTTTCCCGTCTTGTTGAGTATGTTTTTCTCTTCGTTTTGTATATGTATTTTTTTTTTTTATTAATTTTTCTCTCTCTACTCTCTCTCTCTCTCTCTCTCTCTGTCTCTCTATATTGTACTTGCATACTTCTGTCTTTCTTCGTCTCATCTCTCTTCTACTTCCTATTTCAAAACGCGCTGCATAATCGCTTCTCGGACTTTGGATTTTGAGCTAGTATTAATCGCCATTAATCGTCAAGACTCAAACACTTTATATGCAGTTCAATCTCTCTCTTT